GAGAGAGAGAGAGAGAGATTTGTGTGTTCTGCTGTGCTTGTCTTTCCTTGGTGACATTGCAGGTCTTGAAAGAGCTAAATGATCCAGAAACGGGTCTTTGTCGAAAGAATCGTGAGGATGCTCTGGTTTTGAAGCAGAAAGGGAACCATTGCTTTTCTAATGGGGATTACCACGAGGCATTGCGGTTCTATACAAAAGTAAGAGAGCTAACATTTGAGACACTCAATCTTAGACAAAGTTTTACTTTTTGTTCCCTTGATATGTAGAGAGAGAAAGTTAAGTGCTGCAAAATGATGACCTTCACTTGACCTCCGACTATTTCACTGTTTACTGGTTTCTCTCATCAATAATCATCCTTTAATTCATTTCTCTCTGATTGTCGATTCATCTCAGGAATTGGGTTCTTCTTTCAAAAAGTGTGCATTTGAATTTCTCTCCTCCCATTTTGATTGCTTTCACTGTTCTTTTATTACCACTCTAATTAAATCATGCTTCTTCTGTATTCCCAATCAGACATGTCTAACATTTTCTTCAATATATGTTGTAAACTCAATTTGTAGTCTCCTAGCCAATGATTTTCTAAATAATGATTTCTTTTTCCTTGGGATGCCTTGATCTTTTCCTTATGGGCCTTTTTATACACTGATGTTTTTATGTTTCAAATAAGGAACTTGGTTCATGAATGGAAACTGGTGATTTATGGCTCCCTTCCACAGGTCTATTGTGGAGGGGTAAGTTTAAGAGAGGAGAAGGGGATTCTATTGGTTGTTTTTACAAGCTTAGAAGAGCTTATTATGAGGCACGGTCGGTCATTCACTTATGAAGGAGGCGAGAGAAGTTTTTGTTAGCCTGGCAATAGGCCGGTTGTATAGGTCTGGGTCCAAGCTGGGACTGGGCTAGGGCTCTAAGCTGCCCGGTTGGGCATGGTGAGGTGCCGGCCTGTGCCTGCCCATTCCCATGCCTACTTATAGTTCTCCTGTTTTTTGTTTTGCTTTTCTTATTGCCTTCCTGTTAGGTTACGTCCCTTTGGTTCTTTTTCCATCAACTGGATGTAACCTTTTAAATTTGGAAATGTGCTTTATGCATCAGGGGATGCATAACTACATTTGAGTCCCCCTGAGGCTAAAATGGCAAGAAAGATAAAAACAAATGGTCTAATTTTCTTCAAAAATTTGTCATTTTTAGTTTTTAAAATCTATTATACATATTAATGATCTCCATGTTAGATTATCTACATTTGAGTCCCTCTGAGGCTAAGATGGATGTACAGTGGTGGTCCCTCCAAGAAAGATAAAAACAAATGGTCTAAAATTTTTCTTCAAAAATTTGTCACTTTTAGTTTTTAAAATCTATTATACATATTAATGATCTCCATGTTAGACTATTATATATACCTAAAAATAAGTCCAAATCCATCTAGAAAATGGAACATGATGAGGGGACTCATATCTACATATGAGTCCTAGGACTCATAGAAACCATGTCCTTTAAATTTTGTTATGTATAAAGTATTTAAGTTACTATTTTTCTATTGAAATAACTCTTGCTTACAATTTTGAAATATTAATGAACTTTGATTGTTATAGTTATCTTTGTTTTTTGATGCATAGCATGTATTCGGTGAAATGCTCATTGTGTCATGTGCTTTACTGTGGTTTTAATTGTCCTTCCATTGTGTACAGGCTCTGCGTAACACTCCCATGAGTGATGGAGAAATTGATAAATGCTTCGTTGCCACATTATATACAAACAGAGCATCGTCCTTGCATGTGAGTTCATCTTGGGATCATCATTTTGAAGCATGGACTCTGTTCCGGACTTGCTACGGTCCCAAGCCTGAGTTAGAAAAATCGATTTTTGTTGAGTCTGTCTAATTTACATTAAAATATAATGGGAATTGGCGATAATTGGCTGGATCCCATGGTTTTGGCTCCAAACTTCACAGGCTGCTGAGTTTGAGCAATAGGGGTGAGGCCCATTCTGACTCGGTTGAGTTTTCAAACACTGCCAGGGGCAATTGGATATGTTGAAACACTTACCTCGGTAGTTCTTAAATGACAAACAACGGAATGGAACTAAATGCATGAATATAATGGAGCCAAAACAATGATCCTTTATTTTGAGCTTTCATAGAATAGGTTTTTGTTAATTATATTTACTGTAACTTTAATGTGGAGGTAAGTATAGGAAAATTGTTTCTCAATTAGATCAAATTTGAGTATGATTGAATTTTGTTAGTTCGGATTGCTATAAATTCGCATATCAAATCAATAGTTTTTTATTTTTAATCTTGTTCTACAACATGGTAAGTTGTCTTTTATGGATAAATGATATAGGGTTGGTTGGCATTAGCCTTGAGTATCATATCTTTGATGTGCAATAATAGTCTATGTGCTTCATCTTATCATGAATTGATGGGTTCATGCTAATGTTATCTTCATGAAGAAAGGTAGGAGATGAAATTTGAGTGTTCTTTGTTGAGACTTTCAAAGGGCATCACAGCAGCATAGTATGACAACTACTAGAAGATGAAGTGTTGGCCCTTTCTATATTCTATAGTTATAAAATGAGTAGGGGCATATTTGTCATTGGAAAGGGTATTAGTGATATTTGCACTAAAAGACAAAATGTATTTTTTTTAAGGATTTGAGCTTGGGCTTGAGTATTAGCAGCTGACGAATTGGAGTGCCACATCTCTAGTTCGATTCCAACCATTGAACTACCTAAAAAAGAGAGTTAATTTTGTCACCTCGGTAATGACATTTTTGAAATTTTTTCTAAAAGAGAAAGGAAGTATGTTAATAAAGTACCCAGATTTTCACTCCAATTTGTTATAACTGTGGAAAGCTAGGACATTACAAAAACAAATGTTAGAGTTACGAAGAAAATAAATTCTCTGGAAATAGATAATGAGGTTAAACAACGAATTCTTCAGATTATAGCTGAAAATGAGATATTATCAGATTCTGAGAAAGAAGAAATAGTTATTGGTACTATTGAAGATGAGAACATGATCATATCTAGTTCAGATGACAGTCCTTCTGAAGAAGAAAGTGATAGTGATAGTGACTGTAAATGTAATTATTACAAGGCTGTCCTTAATATGAATGGTTTAGGGCTAAATGTATTATCTAATGAAGAAAGCTTATCATCGATCTTATAGATAAAATTGAGAGAGAATATTCAAGCCCGTAAGGAGGCATTACAACAATATATTAAAATGGCTAAAGAAAGCCCAAAGTCCAAGATAATAAATCAGTCACAACAAGAACCTTATAACTTTAAGAATGTTATGGATAGGGTTCAGAAAAAATGCAACACTAGTAAGGAACCTAATGTCCAAGAGCTTAGGCATGAACTAAATGAAGTTTGCAATGAACTTATAGCTCTAAAAAATAGAGTTAATATTCTTGAATTATCAAACGAATTCTCTAAAGAAGGGGAACAAGAACAAGAATATCAAGAAAGTGAAAAATCTTTTGAAGAGCTAATGGAAGAATACAAGGTCGATCTTCCAGAAGATAACCCTCAAAATGATAACCATCAGCCTCAGGTCTCTAACCAAATTACGGGACAAACCTCTGGATTAAATCTAGAAGAAAAAGCTGTAAATGTGAATACAATAACAAAAGAAAAACTAAGAGATCTAAAATACATAAAGATGGTTGATAAAATAATAACCCAAAAATAGTATACTCTAATTACTGTAGTAGTAAGTAAAGAATATAGTTTTCAGACCATAGCCCTTATTGACTCAAGAGCTAATTTAAATTGTCTCAATGAAGGACTCGCACCCACAAAAATATTTTGACAAAACAACACAGGTCCTCAATACTGCAGATGGAAGTAGAATGATAAGCAAATATAAATTATCAGATGCTGCTATATGTAATAATGGAACTTGTTTTATTATGCCTTCTATCATGGTTAAAAATTTGAGCCAACCTGTTATATTAGGTACCCCATTCCTTAACATGCTTTATCTTACAGTAAATAAATAAGGAATTGAATAAGAAATCGAAGGCCACAGGGTTAAGTTTGAATTCATAGAAAAACCAAGACTCCAAGACATCAATCAGATGAAAGACAAAATAAAAAATACAGAGAAATTCCTATTATATCTCAAAGAAGAGATAAGACATAAGGCAATTTATGAGAAAATAAAAAATCCCTAAATTCTAAAAGAAATAAGAGATTTCCAAGACAAGATTGCAAAAGAAATCTGTGCAGATATACCTAATGCGTTATGGGATAAAAAGTAGCATGCGGTGGAATTACCCTATGAACCAGATTTTAATGAAAGATTATTCCTACTAAGTCTAGACCCATACAAATGAATATCAGGTTATTAGATATATGTAAAAAGGAAATCCAAGAACTCCTGGATAGAGGCCTGATTAGGCCAAGTTATTCTCCTTGGCTGCCTAGCTTTCTATGTGAAAAAAGCTGGGGAATTGGAAAGAGGTGTTCCTAGGCTAGTAATAAACTACAAGTGTCTCAAATCTAAGATATAATTTAAACTTCCTAAGAACCTTTGAAGCTGTTTTTGTCCTTGATTTCATCAGGAAATTTGTATGCGAATTGTATTGCCCTTTCGATTGGGATAATTTTTCCCTTGTGGATATTTTGCCCAAGAAATATTACTTGTGTTTGGAATAGTTTCATCTTTTTAGCAGACACAACTAATCCAGCCATCTTGACGGTTTTCAAAAAGATGTTTAAATGCTTCCAAAGTTGCTCTAGAGATTCTGAAAAAATAAGAACATCATCAATGTGTACAATAGCAAAGCTTGTATAAGGATTGAATATATTATTCATGATATTTTGAAATTCAGATGGGGCATTTTTAAGCCCAAAAGGCATCACATTCCATTCGTAATGTTCGAAAGGAACTGTGATGGTCAGATTCCAAACATTAAAATTAAAATTCCGCCTGTAAGTTAAAATTCAAAAAAATATAAAAAATAATTTGCAAAAAAAGTAAATTAACCAAAATAAGCTTGAAAGTTTCATGTATTTTGGTCATGTTTTTTTAGCAAATTGTTTCATTAATTTTTGGACCAATGTATAACCAGAATATGAGGTCAATTGAAATTGTAAAAATAAAACCTAAATTGAAATACTAACGTGCTGCCTTAGCCATCCCATTGGATCAGCTTGAATCTGAATAGTTGGGAATATATTGTGGTGCAGGGGGGGGGGGGGGTAGGGGTCGGGGGACACTTGGTGTTCAAAATGGATGGAGTAGCTGCAATTTGTATGATTTGTTTAGGGGTTCAAGTGGTTAAACAAACATTCTTTTGATTTAATTATTTGAATTGTAGTCAATGGAAGAGAGTATGCAGATGCATACTTTAAACATTGAGGACTCGATCATAGTTGTTGAGGGAAGACATTGGAGCTAAGATGGATTGAGGGAAGACATTGTAGCTAAGATGGAATCTAATATTGGGAAATCAAATCGATTTGACTTACTGTGATGGTACTTGGATAAAATGAGGATTAAGATGGACATTTTATATAATTTATACAAAACAAGAGAGTTGTAAAGGACCATACTTATGTGCTGGTTTCATTGAATTAAATGGTGAGATTGAGTAAATGCCAATGATGAAGCCTTACGCCATTTTGGAAGTTTTTATTGATATATGAATTTATCCTTTACATAAGCTTTGATTATGTATTGAAATGGAGTTCTAGGAGCCTTATTAATGTCGTTATATTTGAATTTCTGGTGATCAAGATGTATGTGCCTCTATTTTTATTCTTTTGTACAATGTATTTGCTTTCTCATTCTTTGGGTTTGTTCACCCTTTCAGAAGTTGGGCTTGTTGGAAGAGTCAATTCGAGACTGCAGTCGTGCCTTATCATTGTTACCAAACCATGCAAAGGTAAAACTTTTGATAGTAGAGATATTCAAACTATCTACAAGATATGCTTCTATCAACTTGGTTAAGTTTGAGCTGTTTGGATGTTAGACATTTTCTTTCAGATTTGTTTATTTCATACAAGTGATTGGTTGGTATATGGTCAATGAATGATTGTCAAAGGATCCTTGATTTAAGTCTAGTAGTAGGGCTACAACGGTCTGGAGTGGGCTGGGCCATTGCTGGCCAGGGCCTTCTCCCCATAGAGTGGGCCTAGGCCTAACCCTAGCCCTCTTAGAGTCGGCCGACCAGTACGAGCATGGCTAAATACATTTAGACAAAAAGTAAAAGGAAAAAAATAAGAAAACAAGGTTGGGCTGAGCAGGGTCGGCCTTGTCATGGCCCTGACCAAAGTCCAGCCCAGCCCTGGCCTAGCCCTTGGGCAATCTTTTGTGGCCCTGGCCCTAGTTTTTTAGGGCCGGGCCAATCGGGCTGTGCCGAGTCGCCCAGCCCATTGCCAGGCCTAACTAGTATATGTATAGAAAAGAGAGTATGGCACAGGAGCATATCCAAAAATGTTCTAAAATATACTGATCTTCGTATATTTCAATATCTTGAGTTTTGTTTGAGGCTTCATACATGAATATTAACTTTACTAGTTTCGACTGAAGTGTTTTCCCCATAGGGTGAAGTTCTTCAACAAAATTGATTGTAACTTAGGGATTTTCTACATTTCTCTGTTGTCCTGAACCACACATCAATGAACATATGTGTTTATTACATTCTTCAATTCTCTTTAAATTGTAAAAATAGGGGTTTAGTTGACATCCTTGAACCAATACCTTAGGGTTCTGTTATACCATGTGACAACTGACCATATATTATATTTGATCATTATTCAATGCTTTTTGCTGCTTGGGAAAGGTTTCTCTCTTAAATTCTGGAATTAGACTTGCATTAACATGTGAACCTTCTGAAAACTCTTAAGGTATGAGCTTGTTGGGAAAGCAAATATAGACGGATTCTGGTTTAGGTCTCTAATTGTCCAAAAATATGTCAGTGAAGATATGTATAAGGAACCAGAGAACTAACACACTCAGGGATCAAATTGGCCCTTTCCTTTCATACAGTGGAAATAAAGGTTTTTTTTTTTTAAACATAAACTGGGGTTCTTGAGGAGTTCCAGGAATTTTCAATTGCTTTTACATTTTACATCAGACCTCTATACAGGTCTGAATTTCCTTGATTTGGGTCTTGAAGCATATACAGATCTTTAAGAAAGAAAATATACAAAGGGAATGGGAAATATCAACACCAAGAGGTGTACTGTGCCTATATACCTGGATATATGCAAGGCAACTACCCAAGGTCTTCTCCTTCTTAAAATCTAGGCTTCAAGTGAGTTTGGACCAACATGTTTTTCTCTTTGTGAATGTCTTTAACACAGAGAAGATGTACAATATCAGGGGCTTTTTTCCTTCTTGGTGTGTATGAACTCGAAGTAGTATCTCTCTTTCTCTATCTCTATAACGTGAGCACAGGTTCAGTTTGATTAGTCCACTTCGATCATCAGGCCCCTCAATTCTGCATTAATGGTAGTTAAATAGAGCTTTGAAGATGATAAATGTGAAGGACCATGATGCTTATAAAAATCAGATGTGTGGAACTAACTCCTCCTCACAACATGGTTGAATAAGATAAGCTTCCTTTTGAATTAAATCCAAACTATCTCCAGGAGGTTATAAAGATAAGCTTTAAGCTAACTTAAACCCAAAATATCTTGATACTTGAATTTAAACTCGAAACCATTTGGATTTGCCTCAATTTGTATGAGAAAATAAAGGAAAAAGCAGTTATTTACATCCGTCGTCAGTCAATTATTTAGTTCTACCATGTCTGAGTCCAACTGATGCCACTCTCTAATCGTGAGTCCTTTCGACTTCAAAATTTGTATGGTAAATGAGGACTCAAAGACGAACCAAAAATCCAAATCTCACCTCAAATGGATCAATAACAACAGAGATTTGTCTCGCCAAAGTTGACCCATTTTCTGCTGCAGATTTCGATAGCAGATTTGACAATTGCAGGCTCAAGCACTTTGGAAATTGATAATCTTGTAGAGGGATTCATGGTGCACATTTCCACAAAATTTGGTGCCAAAACTCTTTGTATCTTGGAGATATTTAGAATCAGCTGTCAAGCTTTTGTGCAGTTTTATGCCTTATGTTACAGCACAAATGGCTTTCACGTGAGAGACCCATAAGGTGTCGTCCTCCATTGTTGATAGAGCTTTGAGTCAGGAATCTAATGGTCCAAGTCTAATGAGAAAACTCCCTATGGATTGGGAGATATCTCAGTTTTAGTGACTGGAGGTCATCCTGGCTGCGGGCAGACAACAAATGTGAATCTTGATTGTCGACGGTTATTGAAGAAGGGTCAAATCATCTCCAGATGACCAGAAACTTTAGGGAGAGAGTTATTATGCCTCACATATGATTTCTCAAAGGTTTCACACCAACTTGAAGGGACCGGCGGTCAGGGCATATCCTTGCAATTGATGGGTTTACATGGTGTACCAAATGATGTCCAATTTGCATGGTTCTTGAACCATCGGCATAAAGGGCCTCATTTAGAATATCCGCACCACTTCATTTTGATATGATTTAATGGGGTTTCACAAGGTCTGGCTGTCAAAGCTCTCTTTGGTGAACGACGGATCACATATCAAGTTTTATCCAAACTCCTCCAACATGATGTGGAGAGGAATATAGGGGCTATGATTTAATGGGGTTTCACAAGGTCTGGGCTTGACAACCACTCAGCGCTTATCTGCATTATCCTTCGTCTCTGTTTAATTGCTTATGGATCTTCCAAGTGTGTGTGCCCTTGGATCATAGCTCCAAAAACACATCCAAGAGTCTCACATTTGGTTATCTAATAGGTTGTTTTGATCTTCTCGAAGTGATCCTTCTTTGATGTATTTCTCAAAGTGTTTAGTGACTTTCTATCCCTCATTTTGTGTTTTTCAATATTTAAAGATGAAGAAGATGATTGGTAGAGATCGTGAGTCTGGTGGGCTTTACTATCTTGATTGTAGCCTTGTGGGTGCTGTTCTACATTCTAGTGTTTCCCCTTTTTAATGGCATTGCAGACTTGATTATCCATCTCTCAATAATTTGCAGATGTTAGTGCCTTTATTAGAGTCAGTGTCAATTCTTGAGTCTTGAGGCTTGTGAGTTAGGAAAGCATCTTAGATCCTTTTTTCCTTCTAGAATTAATAAACACGAGTTTCTAATCTTTTTTCAGTTGTTAATTTAGAGATTTGGGGTCTTTTTAGAGTTCAGAGTCGATGTAATTACAAAGATTTTTTAATTTATGTTGCTGATTTTTCTTGGATGACATGGTTAAATTTGATGAAAGACAGATCTGAGGCCTTGTCTATTTTTCAATTGTTTCATAATGAAATTCATACTCATTTTAGAAAGAATATTTGCATTTTGCATTCAGATAATGCTAAAGAATATTTGCCGCGCGATTTCCAGAATTATTTAGCCACACACAAGGCATTCTGTATCATACATCATGTGCACATACTCCCCAACAGAATGGGTAGCAGATAGAAAATCCATAATGTAATAGAGGTAACTCGTACTTTATTGTTAAATATGCATATGGCTAAAATGTTTTGGGGATTCGGCAGCTTTTTATTAGATAAATTGTATGCCTTCTTCTGTTTTGGATGGAAAATCACCTCAATCTTTGCTTTTTCCCAATAGGTATTGTGCCCTCTAGAGTTTTTATGCGTGTTTGCTTTGTTCAGGTCTTAGGTCTTGGAACCGACAAATTGGATCCCCAAGTTATTAAGTTCGCATTTTTAGGATATTATCGCACCCAAAAAGGCTATTGGTGTTATTGTCCTGATTTGAAAAAGAACTTTGTGTGCATGTGTGCTGATGTTATCTTTTGTGAAAATATTCCATACTTTTCTGATGAGGGTAAAATGCTAGAAATAAATTCATGATAGTGTATATAAGGGGTGAATTTACAACCCATTACTTCTTCTACTCCTGTTTCCATTCCTTTTACTTTCTCTATTGATAATTCATTATCTCAAGTGCCTGCTTCCGTAGAGCTTCTCTCCTCCTATTACTCGTGTTCCACATGAGCAACCTCTCAAAGTGTATACAAGAAGGAAATTAAAAGAAAGGCCTTCACCACCTGCCCAAGCAGTTGACAATCTTTATCTTTGTATGTGGATCCTCATCTAGTTCCTGAATCTACTCCTGAAGTTGAAAATATTGATCTTCCAATAACATTTTGTAGAGGTTAGTGATCCTATACAAAACTTTCTATTGCTCATTTTGTTACATTTGAGAATTGTCTCCCTATCATAATAATTTTTCTTTAGCACCGTCTTCCATTTCCATACCTAACTCCTATCTAGAAGCTCTTTTGCAGATGAAAGAAAGCTATGGATGAGGCAATGACTGCTCTCGAGTCAAATGGTACTTGGGAGCTTATTGATTTGCAGTAGGAAAGAGACCGGTTGGATCTCATTAGGTATATACCATTAAGTTCCAACCAGATGGATATGTAGAGATATTAAATGCTAGACTGCTAGCAAAGGCATACACACAGACATTTGGTATTAATTATTCCAAGACATTTGCTCCTGTGGCAAAACTTAATAAAGTTAGGGTACTTATATCGGTGACAGCACATAAGGAGTGGTTATTATGGCAACTTAATGTTAATAATGCCTTTCTCCATGGGGATTTAAAAAAAAGTCTATATGGAGTAAACACCAGGTTTTGTTGCTCAGGAGGAGTTAGACAAGGTATGCACGTTGACGAAAGCAATTGATGGCCTAAAGCATTTACCATGCACATGGTTTGAGAAATTCAACGAACTTCTTGTGGCATATGGGTTTCAACAGAGCTGTGTGTATCATTTAGTATTTATTATAAAACAAGCCCCCTGGAACTATGATTTTGGTTGTTTATATTGGTGATATTAGTATTACT